CTAGTATTTTGTTAGCAGAAGTCACCTACTTGGAAGTATTCATGCCTGTGCCTAAATCCACCACCGTAGATAGTGATGGCCCACCAATGGCATGTAGTAGTGAGGGTGACTTGACCCGCATTGCAGGCCGTTCCTGTAGACTCAGAGATGTCACATGCATAGTTAGGGCAGAGGGCACTGCTACCTGGCCTTAAACTCCTCTTACCATGTGACTCTGGAAAGTCCTTTCTCTTGTCTGCCTCAGTTTCCTCCTGTGTAAAATCATAGTGTTGGCTTCATGGGTGCCTATGAGGACTAAGTAAAGTGATACAGGCAAAGAGCCTAGAACTTGGAGCAGGCCTCAGTAAGCCATGTTTGCTATTACTGTCACATGTTCAACCTGTGTTTCGAGTTTGGGGAACAAGGGGTGCTTTTGGTCACAGGACAGCTTGCTGAATAGTCATGTTCAGCAGACTAAACAGGCAAAGCCAGGGCTTTCATGATGTTCCCTCCTTCCTTCTCAGAAAAGAAGCTTCCCTGCCCCCTCCCTTGACAGTTATGAAAAAGGACAGCTGTTGGCTTAGAAATGATTTATCTTGTGAAGAGAAATGGCCTCGAAGAAAAAAACTACTTTATAGCTCTGTGCCATATATCCTGAACAGAATGCAGGGTGCACATATGGAAATGTGTTAAAAACAAATGCAAATGCACCCAAGTGTGTTAGAAAAATAGTTATAATCTTCCCTCTTAGCCCACGTCCGCATTGGGGGAAGAAGAACAGATAATCTGGGAAAATGTGGAGCTTGCTCTTGGGTGTTCTCCAGGGATCTCGGGTTTCCCAGGCAATAGCCAGCACACTCCTTGGCCCACAGAGTACTCTGTTTTGGGGACCTTAGCTGCTCTTGATGAAGCTTCCCTAGGTGCCAGTAGTGCCACTTAAATGAACCAGGAGGTGGTCCTAACTGTGTGAGTCACTTCAAGGAATGGGGCAGAGGAGATCAGAGTGCCAGGATTATTCCTGGGTCCTCCTGTGCCAGGAAAGGCCAGAGAGAGGCTGCATGGTAGTCAGGGGCCAGGGGCCTTGCAGTCTGGCTCCCACTGTTGATGCGCCTTTGAATCCTCAGAGTGATCACTTCTGCCTCACAGTGTTATGAGGATTAATTGAGATCAAGTACACGAGACCGTAGACATTGCCTGGATAAAGACCTCATTATCGTTCATTGTCGTGCCCTCTGCACATTGGCGTTTCTAAATCATAGCAGTGCCTATCATTACAATAGTGATTTTTATCTAATGTGCCTGCCACCATTGCTTCACTTTGAGTCGGTTGCTCAGGCATGCCTCCGAAGGTGGCAGGGTACTCCAGGCAGTTAGTTTCCTAAAGTCTGAAATTCTCTTCCTGGTGAGGGCTTCTCAGGGATGGTGGCAGTGGTACAGGGGGAGAGACGGATGCTTAATGGGTTGGTAAACATTTCACAGACGTGTTTGTGTGCTTGGCAAAAACTGGTTTGTGAGATGTTTTAACCTGATTAAAATGAAGCTGGAAAATAGTTCAAGGAAAATGGCTGGGGGCGGGGGTGGCGAGGGGAAGCAAACGCATCCACCGTTGCATGGTGTGGCCCTCTTCGTGCAAAAGGGGCCTCTGACCACAGGTCAGAAGAGACTTGAGATACGGGTGTATCTCCATCAGGGCAGATGGAGATTTTTTGTCTCATTTGTTTGAAAGTTTTAATCAATAAAATTTCCCCTCAAGAAGGAAAGTAGCTGAAGAAGAAATAGAACAGCAAAGAGCCATATTTTTAAAGCACAACTGTTTTTCCCACCCACCCCTGTGTCCCCACTTCCTGGACAAAGCTGCTGTGGGAATGCAGAGTGAGCATTGTTCAGGCCATTAGGAGTCTCAGTCACTGTCCTGCTCTCTACTGCTTGACATGTGACCTTGACGAGCCCCCGAACCTCCCTGAGCCCAGACTCCTACACCATTTACGACCATTTGTGCTCTGGCAGTATATGTCTGTACCTTGGCTCTCTGAGGTTCTTTTGTGACCTTACCTCCCTGTTAGAACATTTTCTCACAGCAGAGTACAGGCCACGTAACCTCTCTTTGTCAACAAGATGTAACTTTGACTTGCCCACCTGTGAAGACCACTGCCTCAGGCTCCCTGGAGGTCAGCGGATCCCCAAGGGCACTCCCAGACTCTACTGGCCTTCCAACCCCCCTTCACATATAGGGTGCAGAAGCTGAGTTGTGTGGCCTCAGTTTCTATCGAGGGGATCCTCTGCAGAGGTGTGTGTGCCCTCTGCTGTCTGATAGGTTCGATAGTCACTGTTGTATTTTTGTGGTTCTAAATGCATAAAACATCTTATATACGTAAAGCTAGTGTGCCATGGGAATTCTTAAGAAGCAGATAGCATATTCTTGAAGTGTGTTAGGTGTACTTGAGGAGAGAAAAATACTTAGAAACAAACTGATGTCAAGAGATACCTAAAAAAGAAATGACTATGCAAAAGCAGATACCAAGGATGGCTGTCCTGACTGTGATCAAGGACATTAAGTTGCCTGATGAACTGTGTTCATAACCAGAGAGAATAGTGAACAGAAGTTTTACTATTAAGTACCAACATTATTGAAAAATCACTAATACTTCAGGCATTGTACGGAGCCAAACGTGATAAATGCATGCATGTCTCCACTCATCCAACCCTCAACTGTGGCAGAAATCACCAATCACCATTCTTCTCCCGTCGGGCCAGGACGTGGCCTCATCATCCTCAATTCACTATTGTAGAAAGTTAGTACCATGGAATTCAAGTTGGTGCACAAAACAAATCTAATTTAAAATACCTCTGTCGTGCTTTACTTGTATTTCCTCATTTTGCCCTTATAATAGTTCTTCAGGGTAGGTACAATTCCGTTTTATGAAGGAGGAAAGTGAGACTCAGATTTCCTATTAAGTGGTGGAACCAGCATTCCATCCATGACAGCTTGATTTCAAAGCCAGTGCCTTTAATCACTGTTAGACTACTCCAATCTTAATGCTTAAAAAGTAGAGAAGTAGCTGTGTACTGTTTCATCATGTGTTTATGAGATTAATGAAAGTCCCTGGATCTTAAGGGTTTGAATCAGTCTCTCAAACTGTCCCCATGCTCTAAGCTGTATCCACTCTACCCCAAGGCTACCATTTGGCCCCAGAAAAGACTGGTGTTCCCCTAGAGAAGCAAGCTGGCCACTGCTGCCACCACCAGAACCACTTACTCCCCCCTAGAGGGTACCGTTAGGATCTTGCTAGGGGTATTTTGGGCACTCCTCTCATGGAGGGTGGGAGGGTCACTACTCCATGTGCGTGGTATTAGATTATTATTATTTTTTTTTTTTGAGAAAATCAGTGGCCCTATTGATAAAATGTTTTGAAGTTTAACTCAGTCAATGCCAAGAGGTGCTTTATAATAATTTTATTGTATATCATTGACAATTATAACATTTTACCCCTGTTAATAAGTCAATTTTTAAAGAGCTATAAGCACATTTTACCTAGGTGCTACTGTTTGCTCAGGTATATTAGTTAATTATTTGGCCACCTCTTTTGGCATGTATATTTTCATTTTTCAAATGAATATGATTGTTCAAAATTAACTCGTGCATTACGTCATATTTCTAAATTACACGTCTCTGTTTAGAGTCTTCCTTTTATTTAATACAGGATAGGCCTGCAATCTAATTTGGGAAGTGATCATATCCTTGCCTTTAAGCACTAAATGACATTTATTTTAAATTTCTGAAATAATAACTGGCCTCCTATAATGTAGTCCAACGCTGTAATTTAACAATGCTTATGCATGGAAATTATTTGAGTCCTAAATATTTTCTGCTACAGTTTGTCTTCTCCATTGGAAGCGATTAGTTACTATCTCAATGACAGTTCCTAGTTTACCTGATCACATTAATAATAATCGTAATAATTTATTAAGGTTATACTGAGAGCCAGGAATGGTGCTGGGCTATCTACATACATATTCATTTAATCCTTATGACATATCTTCAAGAAAAGTGTTAGCACTCTTGTTTTGCAGATGAGGAAACTGAGGTGAGTGATTTGAACAGGGCTGTCCAAATGAGTAAGGAATCGAGGTGGGATTTGAATCCTGGGTTATGAAAAACAAAAGCATTGCCCTTTCTACTCTTATCTGTCAATATTGTCTTGCCTTCTCTTTTCTAGGCCAGCTAATTATTGCAAATTTTTGAGAATTCTTAGGTCTGAAAAGAGGTCCCTCTGATTATTCAGCTTGTTTTGTAGGAACAGCTCACCATCACATAAAGCTTGAGGAGTGCTCTCGTTGAGGGGAGTGGCCAGGTTGTTGTTCAATAGCAGCTTTATTGAGATATAATTCATATACCAGAGAACTTTCCCTTTTAAAGTGTACAATTTGGTGGGTTTTAGTGTATTTGCAAGATTATACAACTATCACACAGTCAAGTTTATAACATTTCCAAAAGAAATCCCTCGTCCATTAAATCACCCCCCATTCCCATATCCCTCTCACCCCTGGCAACACCCAACCTCCTTTCCAACTCTATAGGTTTGCCTTTTCTGGACATTTTATATAGATGGAATCATGTAATATGTGGCCTTCTGTGTCTGGCATCTTTCACTGAGTGTAATGTTTTCAAGATTCATCCATGTTGTACCCTGGATCAGTACTTTGTTCCTTTTGATGGCTGAATAATATTCCATTTATGGATAGACCACATTTATTGATCCCTTCATCCATAGATGGACATTTGAGTTGTTTCTACTTTTTGGCTGTTATGGAATATTCATGTACAGGTCTTTGTGTGGATGTGTTTCCGTTTTCTCTTTGCCAATTTGTTTTTAACTCATCCTTGAGTGGTTCAGTAAGCCTTCCATTTAGTTACAACCATTCTACATGACAGCAAACTACAACCACAGCAGACTTGTTTGAATTACATATTGTGGTTGTGTTTTCTGAGTGAGTTCCTATGGTCTGTGTTTTTCTCATAGACCTGCCCTTCGTGCGGAATCACTTTTGCTCCCAAATCGGAAGGTGGCACAGGAGGAGGAGCAGTGCAAAACGGCTGTCAGGAGGAGCATAAAAATAACACCAAGGTAACAAGCTCCTGGCTGTCATTCCTGTCATTTCCTCTCCTGCCGCATCTACCTGAAATGACACTCCTGTCTTGTCATCTTCTCAGTTCTGAGAATAACTCCTCTTAGGCGACACCTTTTCATACCTTCTAGTCCTTTGGCTCCTAACCCAGGAGAAGCAGAGTAATCACACACTGAACTGGATAGGATCCCTAACGGACAATAAGGATTTACAGATATGTGGATTAGAGTAGTTAGGGAAGGTTTGGGGGCTGGAAGCTGGACTTGACAGATGGTGGAATGTGGACGTGCAAAGAGAAGAGGGGACTCCTTGGGGTGAGAGACTCCTTGGGGTGAGAGAGGAGGGGCTGGAGGTTAGGGACAGCAGCAAAGAAACTGCCGGAGAAGTCTCACTTGGAAACCAGAGCCAGGACTGGAGTGGAAAGTAGAATAAAGACCAAACCCAAGATCATTTCAAGCAGCTTATGAAGGTTGACTCTCCGGGGAGGCCTGCATCTGTCATCCTCCACCCTTCTGTCATCTGCCCATGGACTTGAGAGACACTGGGTCAGTCCGTGCACAGTCAGTCACCTTTTCTTAAGTCAAAGCCCATATAGCTCTGGGTTTCTTTCTCTGGATCCACCCTTGTAGTTCCCCGCAGCCCCCAAACCTTACCCAGCCCTCTGGGACCCTGATTCTGTGGTCAGCAAACTCCAAGAGTCTCAACTCTTCTTTTAGCCCCCTCTCCCCACCTCCTACTTTCACTTCCCACCATTTCAGCTCTCTGAATGCCTTGAGGTGTGATTTGTCGAGCTAGCGGGGTGGGGAGAAGCAGATGGGAAGAGAAGTTGAGTGTTCGGATTAGGTCAGAGATTTGAAGGTACAGTGTGCAGTCCAGTGGGACCCCAGCATGGCAGAAAGGTTGGGTGGAATAACACTGTTGCATACCCATGCATTACCTCTGTGTCGCTTCCCTCTGTCTTGAGGTAGGCTTCTGGAGGACCTAATTCTAAAACGCAAAACGGACTTCTGAGCCCACCCCAAGAGGAGAAGCTCACCAATAGCCAGACCTCCCTGTGTGAGATTCTACAGGAAAAGGGAAGGTGGGCAGGTGTCAGCTTGGACCAGTCTGCTCTCCTTCCACTGAGGTTCAAGAACATCCGGGAGAAAACAGATGCCCACTTTGTCGATGTTATCAAAGAAGACAGGTAAGAGTGAAGCCATGGGCATTGAAGTAAAGTTTGTAGGTAGAAGCCTCTCCCTTCTTCTGAATTGCCTTATCCCTCGTGTGTGTCCTCCATTGTCAGTGTATTACTTTGTTTTAAATTAATTTGAAACTTACAGAAACATTGCATGAATAATGCAAAGAATTCCCTTTATACCCTTTGCCCAATTTTCCAACTTTTAACATCTTACTGTGTTTTATTTTCTTCTCCTCTACCGTTCTCTCTCCCTCTTCTCTCTCTATGAAATTTATTTTTAATTTTTTTCTGAACCATTTAACAGTAACTTTGATACATCATATTCTTTACTCCTTAATACTGTATTTCCTAAAAACAAGGATGTTCTTTTACATAATCTAGTTATCAAATTCAGGAAATTTAACATCAATACAATATTTAATCTGTGGTCCACATTCTAATTTTGTCAGTTGGTCCAATATGTTCATGATAGTACTTCCCTTTAGTATGGGATCCAGTCCAGGCCCACAGACTGCATTATGTAGTTGTCATGCCTCTAGTCTTTTTAGATCGAAGACAGTTCCTCAGACATTCTGTGTCTTTCATTGACTTTGACATTTTTGGAAAATGCAGGTCTGGTTCTTTTACAAAGTATTCCTCAAGTTGGTTTTGTGTGATGTTTCCTCCTCATGACTATATTCAGCTGGACAGACACCCAGAAGGGGTGTGTTCTTCTCAGGTACCATATCCAGGGGCATCAGGTGCCCATTTGTCCTTTATCTACAATAGTAATTTTGATCAACTGGCAAGTGTTGCTGATGTCTCCAATCTATAGTTAGTATTTTCTCCTTGTGGCTAATAAGCAGTCTGTGGGAAGCTACTTTAAGATCATGTGAATATCCCATTCCTCATCAACTCCCCTGGATTTAATCTCCACTGATGGCTCCTGCCTGAAACAGTCTTTACTATGATGGGTCAGAATGGTGATTTTCCTATTCTAGCACCAACTGCACAGTTATCATTTGGCGCTTGGCATTCCACTGTAAAGAAAAGCCCGTCCCCATTTATTCCTTTATCTACCCATCTGTAATCAACCTGGATTCATGGAGTCCTGTTTTACGTAACAGATTATAGTCCATCACTCTGGTTTGGTGTTCTGCTTTTCCTGAATCTAGTCATTAGGAGACCCCCTCCTGTGTCCTTTTGACATGGCTCCATCATTGGTTTGAGCAATTTCTTACATTCTAACACAACAGGATATTCAGGCTCATTTTATGTCTTCCCTGACCCAGCTCAGCAATCAGCCTTCACTCCTTTTAATGAAGAATGGTATTTAGATATGTTATTAATGTCTAATGTTATTATAGTCAAAGACATTGTCATTGTAGTCAGACATACTCTATAAGATTTCAGTCCTTTTCATTTATTGAGATATGTTTTATGGCCTCACATGCGGTCTCTTTTGATGAACATATCATGTACACTTAAGAGAAATGTGTATTCAGCATTCGTAGGATGTTGTATTGGGGGCTGAGATTAAAGGATAGAATTTTCACTCTTCTGAGTCTGGGGATGTAGTAAAGTATTGCACACTTAACAAAAAACAAAAAGAGAGAGTCCACTATAGTATAAGGAAAGGATGGAGCATATGTACAGAGAACCCTACTGTGTGCCAGGCATATGCTAGGCACTTTACCTATTTCATCTGATTTAACTCTAGTAGTTATTGTATGAGGGAGAGAGACTACACCGCATGGCTATATTTGCCTCCTGAAACCATATTAACATTCCCTTAAATTTATAGTAATTTTTTGCAGTAGAAAAAAGAATATTACTGTTTGCTTAAAAGAATGAGTCATGTTAAAGCAGGTTTGCTTTCTCTGCTATTAAAGTCATTGAGCATTATCATTTTTCAGGTTTCACACAAAATCTGCATTTATGACAACAGCACCAAAATTATACTAACTGTAAACACAATTTTGTGATAACAACCTGTTAGCTTTGATGGTGGCGATTACTGTCAGTGCTCTGAATGACAGGACAGCCGGCTCTGAATTATGTGTTTATTGGAAGCCTCCAAATCAACATAAGTACTTTCAGTGCAGAGATCTGCTGGTCCTTCAGAAGGATGGTTTTATTCTTCTGAACAACAACAACAAAAAACTGCCACCTTCTAATTCTGGATATCAGGAGGATGTTTTCTAAAGCAGAGTTCTAATGATGCGTGTTATAATTATGGCGAATGGTCATTCTTTAGTAGAGGGGAAACAAAACATGTTATGTTTGGAAACACTTTCCAGAGATATGTTCTAAAAGGGGCGGCTGAGCCAGGTCTGTAGCATAGTGCCTTTTAGATTCTGTAGCATAGTGCCTTTTAGATACAGCTTTTGTGATGTGCTTAACAAGTGGCATTTTGGGAGCTAATTGCAATCTTCTAATAAATATGATTGTGCCGCGTGTTGATCCGTTGCGTTTTTTGTCTCTTACAGCCTGATGAAAGATTATTTTTTTAAGCCACCCATTAATCAGTTCAGCTTGAACTTCTTGGATCAGGAGCTTGAGCAAGCCTACAGGACCAGTTATCAAGAAGAGGTGTGTATTTCTTATAATTTTACCAAACAAATGTGTCATTTTCATTGGATAGTTCACAGTTAGTTTTGTGCTTTGGAAGCCTTTGTTGCTTTCCAGAGTGACAGGGAAATGAAGACTCATACTGATTTCCCATAATCAGTAAACCCTAAATTGCATCTATATGTGCATTTATCTACACAAGAGAGAAAAATCCAAATCCTTCTGTGCTCCTTTGTCTAACAACCCAAGCTTGTCATTTCTTGGTTCCTTTCCTCTGCAGCTGGTGCATACACCAAGAGGCTGTGAGCTCCCCTAGGGCTTTGTTTCACGTCTGCCCGCCGCACCCCCCACAGAGCCAGGCCCAGAGCAGGCTCTTGGATGAAGGCGCGAGCATCTCTTACTGTTAGCTGACATGCCCATGTTTTCATCTGCGGCTGCTTCAGTCCCTGCTTGTTACTTCTGTCATGAACCCTGCTTTCACAAACCCTGAACCTGGCACCCAGCCATTCAGCGGAAGCTTCCAGCACATGGCTTTCGTGCAATTGCCTTTACAGAAGCAGAACCATTGACTTTGACAGTCAATAACTCACCTTTCAGTCTCAGTATGCAACGCAACCGTGAGGACGTACTGATTTGTAATCAGCTGCTGTGTGGCCTTGAACAATTTTTTTTTTCAACTTCTCTGTGCCTTAGTTTCCTCATTGTTAAGTGGAATGATATTAGGAGATGGCCCACCTAAAGCATTTGTCACCCTGTACCTGATCAGAGGTAGTGGGCAAATGCTCAATAAACGTTTG